GACTGCCGCCAGAAACCTGGGTTTCATCCTTGTTCCTCCTTCTCCCTTAGGCTTTCCTCTGAGGTTTCTCATCCAGTCCTCGATCAGCCTGCCACCATGCCCCACAGATTCTCCCCTCCAGGTGTCTCTAGAATCCAGGCCTTCCTCTCTGGTCCCCTTCTCTGCTTCCTTCCCCATTTCTCCCTACTGGTTAAAATCTCAGTCCTGGCTCCCTCCAGGTAGACCTTGTGACTGTGTTGGAGTAGAGCTAAACCCTGCAGGTGTGGTCTGGTGAGCGTGCCGCTCCTGGGTCTGAGCCATGAGTTGAGTTGACCATCACCTGGCCAGCTCCAGCTCAACCACCAGAGTGCAGCAGGGGCATCACTCCCTTCGGGAAGCCTTCCTTAACTGCCCAAACCAGCAGGCGACCTGTTGACTGGGGACGGGTCTAGGTCTGCACCCCCACCCCCATGGTCTTCCTTGAAGACCAGGGTCCTATTTACCTTGCAGCTGCATCCCTGGTGCAGTGCCTGAGTCTCCCAGGGGCCCAGGGAACGCTGCTTAAACAAATGGTGAAGGGAGGAATTGGTCAGAGGGGCTTCTGATGTGCTGACGTGGCTCCTGTCTTTCTGGCTTCACCTGTCTCATGGTTTTCAAGTTGCTCTGTGCCCGACTTCTCGCTGATTCCCTCCTCACTTTGGGCCTAGGAGGGTGCCGTGGGCAGCTGGGTGAGAACTGAAGGTGGATTCTAGGGCAGATTCTTACCAGTTAAAAAGGGGAGAGATGAAGGTAGAGCAGAAGAATCCCAAGGCCACTCTTGCTGTGTGTCTCCCTTTCTGTTTCCCTCTGTTTTGTTTTTTTGTTGTTGTTGTTGTTTGTTTCCTTTTCATCTCTTTTTGAAGAACTCTGTCTCAAGGCTCCAGGTTTCTGACGTCTTGTCGAGGCACTGCTCAGTTCCCTTGGGATTTAGGGCTGGATGGAGTGTCTCCTCCATTCCTTAGAGCCCCCCCTCCTCACTGCCCTCTCCCTTCTCTCTCACCCCCTTGCCCTCCCTCCAGCCTCCTCCAGCTCGTGGCTTTCACTTGCCGGAGCCACTGGGTGACCCGCTGAACACCCAGGGCTGGCAGGACGGAGGGATCCCAAGAGATCCGGGAGCCGGCAGGAGTGCAGGCACAGACTTGGGATGAAATGGGTTAGCAGGCTGGTCTCTCTCACTCACCGGCCTGGCTGCTCGGAGATCCGGGGCTCGGCGGGTTGGCAGAGGCGCTGGGGACCCCGAGAGCAGTCCCTGGTGGCCGCGGGCGGGGAGGGGAGAACCGAGAGCGAGTGGTGGGCGGCGGCCGGTTGCCCGGATTCCAGGGGGTCCTTTGGCTCCCCTCTGACCCCAGGAGGAGCCGCGGTCGGATCTTCGGATCTTCGGGGTCCTGCTTCCCCCTCTGCTGTCCTTGTCCCCCTCCCTCCTCGGTTGCACAGATTTCAAGACCCTACGGAGAACCCCAGCCCTCCCACCCACTCCAGTCTAGACTGCGAGTCCGCCGTGGACACACTGCTACTCTCCCGCGAGGGGTGCAGGTAGCACTGGTTCTGTTTTCAGCCTCAAACGGATGCCCCACCTTCCCTGGAGGCGATGGGGACGGAGCTGTGGGAACCGTGAGATTTTTCCAGGGATGGTGCTTGTTCTCAATCACCCTTCCCCAATCACCCTCCACCAATCCTGCCCCTAGAAAGGGGCGTGGCCACGAGCCCCTTAAGGAGCTCTGTCTCCTGGCGGGATTGGGAAGGGCCCCTTGGGGTTGAAGGATGGGGAGGGGGTGCCCAGGTCAAGGCCCACCTGCCGGGACTGTGACAGAGACGACTGGGTGGGCACCAGAGGTGCTGACTTTCCAGACCCCAAAGTTCAGCTGGAAGAGGCCTCCAACCTCCCCCTTCATTCACTCACCCATGCAATCCTAAACTCTCCCTGATGTGAACAGGTGCCAGGCACCCTCCATCCTGAGAGAGGCCCTATGAGGGTGGTGCTGTCCTTAGCCCCCATCTGCAGATAAGGAGACGGAGGCACAGTGCCCCTGTGGGCAGAACCAGGATATGAGTCTTTCCCCCAACTCCACCCCCAGCCTGGTCAGTCCCCCAGGGGGGCCAGCAGGGGTGTGACATGTAGAGGTCTGCCTGGACCAAGCTCTCCCCACTTTTGTTGTGTTCTCTTCACCCAGCCAGGGGCCTGCAGGGCACAGCCACAGCTGAGGTCAGAACAGGCCACTGGCCCTGGCTGGTATGGCTGAATGGATTGAGCACCCATCTGCGGACCTGGGCTCATGGGTTCGATTCCCAGTCAGAGGACATGCCTGGGTTGCGGGCTGGGTCCCCAGTAGGGGGCACATGAGGGGCAACCACACATTGATGTTTCTCTCCTTCTCTTTCTCCCTCCCTTACTCTCTCTAAAAAGAAATAAATAAAATATTTTCTTTAAAAAAAAAAATAAAAAGAACAGGCTATTAGATAGAACTGACTTTGTTTATTGTGCAGACTGCTGGCAGGGCAGGGTCCAGAGACCTGCCCCTGTCCACACCCCCTCCCGCGTGTAGATATTAGAGGGTGCAGGAGCTGCTCAGAGGTGAGAGGGCATTTCTCCATAACAGTACCCGCCACACCACCTCTGCCTCCTTGGCCCAACTCCACCTTTTTTCCAAAGCATGGATAGGGAGAAGACGTGTGTCTCCTCACGGACCGCTCCAGTGACCAGGTTGAGGGGACAGGATTGCCCAGAGTGAAGATGCACTCGGGAAGGGGGTATCTGGACATTCGCTGAGCTGGGGGGAAGGAGAACTCAAGGAGCCCATGGCAGGAGGAAAGAGAGCAGAAGCAGAGGCAGGCCTTGAGAACTCCCACCCAGCTTCACAGGTCCTTCGGACCCCACCCAGTTCCTCTCCAATGGACATAGCTCTTGCTTTTCTAGGTGCTCATTCCATAATTTATTCCACTCTGATCCCCAACACCGCTCTGTGCCTTGCCCTGTCAGCCTTTGGGGATACCGTAGGCCTGCCATGGGGAGATCAAGGCTGGGACAGGTTGATGGTGGGCCAGGGTCGGAGAGCATCTTCCCCACAGCTCAGGCTCCCCTTGCCTCCTTTCACCCCCTGCACCCTTGGGCACCTTGTGGGGGGTGGTGCAGGTGAGGATGGAAGATAGGCAGGAGGAGGGGTTACTTATTGACCAAGGAAGGGCCACCAGGCCTGAATTACTGTTGATGATAATGAAGTTGAGGGAAAGGAGGAAGGAAAGGAGAAGGGGCAGGAGCAGGCAGGAAAGAGGAGAAGAGGAGGAAAGTGCAAGGAGGGGAGTTGACTCCCCTCAGGCTGGAAGAACCCAGTGCTCCACAGCCAGCCAGAGTAAGTGAAATCGAGCCCCTTTATGGAGGTCTATTCCTTCACAGTCAGGGAGTTGGCCCCTGTGGCCTGTGCAGACAATCACCATAGGCAGAGCCTTGGGTGGGGCGAGAGAGGAGACCTGGGTACAAGGCATGGCTCCACAGTCTCTCACCACGGGACTTGATGAGTCTTTTTCCTGCAGGGTCTCAGCTTTCCCATCTGTACAGTGAGAGGGTCTCTCTCGCTTTTGGTCAGCATTTCCAACATCCACTGGGTATATCTTCTGTATGCCCAGCCCTCTTCCTGCTACTCTCCAGAGGGGGAAATAGACCAGGACCACTCATAGTGATGTGGGCTATGATGGAGAGAGTCCTGGGGTGGTGGAAGCACAGCAAAATCAGGGGACACTTCCAAGAGGAGGTGCCACCTGCACTGATCCTTCGAGAATGTGACTCTTCCTAGCTTGGTCCTCTGCTCACCAAACTAGGACAGAGGCCACAAGGAGGGGATGTTTCTGTAGACATCACGAAGGTGCAGGTGAATGAGGAGTGGTGTGGAGGGAGGAATGATGTTTTCTGTACAGCCACATGCACCTGGGCCAGGTCCTCCTCGACCCAAACTCTGTGGGTATGTGGGGCCTTCAGGGGTTCTGCAGAGAAATCCCATGATTTTTTTTCCATTAAATTTAAGCCATTAACATTTTGTGAGTACCTACTCACAAAATTAACATTTTGAGCCCTGATGGTGACTAGAAAAGGGCAGCATACAGTAGGTTTAAATAGGATTAATAATTGTTTTGTGAAAAAGAAGACTTCAGCCTCCCTGGAGACTGCCAAGAGAGGGAGACACAGGCTGGTGGAAGAGGACCAGGAGGGTACTATGGGTACAGGGATTCTTGGAACTAGGCCTTTAAAGGTGGAGGTGTTGATAGGTGCAGGGGGGCCTCCAGGGGAACATAAGCCAGGGCTTGGAGACTGGAATGTGTTTAGATTGTTCAGGAGGAGTGAGAGGGTAGGGGAGAAGAAGGGAGGCTGGAGGTCTTGTCTGGAGTCAAACACCAAGAGTCTCAAGGGAGGTCTCAGCTCAGGAGCCACCTCCTCCAGGAAGCCTCCTGTCATGGCAGTGACCACTTTGTTTGTCTAGGATTTCCCCTCTGGTTCACTGCTGCTACGGTCCATGAAGTTTTGATATCCCCCAAAATCTGATTCAGCCCTTCTATCCAGCTGGAGAGCCCTGGGGGCCCAGGGCCAGGTCTTAGGGGCTGAGTCAGGCCCCTGTTTGTGGCTCCGGTGGGCCTGTGGCTCACTTCTGTGGCCAGGCTGGAGCAAGAGACTGGGGTACTCCCTGGGCCTAAATTCCACTGAAACCAGTCAGTAGATCAAAAAGTGAAGGAAACTGAGCTGCAGTCCAGAGAGAAAATCCAGGTCCAGAGCCTGAAATAAGCCCCTGGCCGCTTAGGGCTTCCAGTGACACCTTGCTCCAGACCCCCGGTCCCCCACTCTGTGGATTCTGTTGCCAAGAGCCTTGGCCAGGTGAATGCAGGTCTGGCGTCTCCAGGGCCTGGTTCATCTCTGGTTTGGATCCAGGAGGGCTCTGAAATCGGGGTGTCAGGCAGGAAGGGAGGGCAGGGCAGGGAGCAGCCCCTCAGCCCCTGCCTTAGCTGTTCCCAGTCCCCCGGGCCCCTGGCTTCAGCTTCTCCAGGGTTCTGCTCACGGTAGACAGGCTGCTGCGGACTCCTGGGGGAGAGACCAGGACGGGGCTGCCTGAGTAGACAGATCTCTGGGTCAGAGCAACCCAGAGGGACCCTGGAGCAGAATGAAATAAAATAGCAAGAGAGGAGTGTCCCAAGAGGCAGTTTCCTGCCTGTTTACAGAGGCCTGGATGGTCTGAACAGCCCTTCAAGAGGACAGCAGCCTGGTATGAGGGTTAGTGGCAGCACTCTGGGGCTGACTCCCTGGTCTCCATTCTGGCTCCACTACTTCCAAGCCATGTCACTTAATTTCCCTGTGCCCCATATGTAAAGTGGGGCTACTTACAGTACCTTCCTTATATCATTGTTCTGAGAATGGAAAAACTAATGTATGTAAAGTGCTTGGAACATTGTCTGGCATGGGACCTTTTTTTGAGATTAGGCATCTTACTGCTGGCGGCAGACACTGTGGTCTGGGGCCGCCTTTGAGAGACTCCTGCTCTGGAATTTTCCAGTGTGCAGGGACGGGGCAGGAAGAAGATGCCCAGTTTCAGGTACCAGCTCTGAGAGCTGGATATCACAGTGGGAGAGGAGAGAGAAAATAAACTGGGGCATGGATGGAGGGGAGGGGAAGGGGCAGTGAGGTGCCTTCTGCCCAGGTGTTGGGCTGGGCAGGACGAAGAGGCCCGAGGAATCATTCAGCTCAGCTTGGAGCAAGAAGGGTTTTGACTAAACACATGGAAGAAACTACTCAACTCTGCGGGCTCTCTGAGACTGGGGCAGCCCCCTCTGCTACTGGGATCCACAAAGATGCTCAGGAAGAGAGGAAAAGGGGGAGATGGATTCTGGAATTTCTGGAACTTACCCTCTTTATTGCCATTGGCATTGGATCTTCCCTCCCCACCGTCTGGCCCTGGATGGGGGCGGATTCTCAGGCTCCCTGCAGGATGAGATTACCCCAAAACCCCTGGTCATGAAGCCGTTCTCAAATCAAGTCCTTCCTGCTGTCCAATCTCCATTCCTACAGCTCTCTTTGCTCCACTGCATTCCTTTAGGTCTCCCGCAGGATCTGGGCTGGCGTATATAGTGTTGGGGGAGGGGTGGGGGTGGAAGAAAATGGGCCATTGAAGGAGAAAATAGCAATTTTTTAAGGAGATGAGGGTCCTGGGGAGAACCGGGGATATGTAAAGCCCCATGTGATTGAGGGAGATGGGAGCGTGCATGCTGGGAGGTGAGAGGAAGTAGGGAACCTTAAAGGGTCCTAAGATCTTGAGGGAGATAGGTGTTTATGGTGGTTCCCAGTTGAAGTAGGGCGATCTGGAGATCTTGGAGGTTTGAGGGAGATGGAAAATCAACAGCGGAGATGGGAGTTTTAGGTGCTCTGAGCTGGTTTAGGCACTCTTGTGGCAGGCTGGAGTCTGCTGTGCTGTACTCATAGCAACGCCTGCACCATATACCCAAACACACACACACACACAGAGGCAACTCCAACACACAGAGCCAGGAGCAGTCACACATGTGGACACTGGTCTCCCACAGTGGACCCCAGAGTTACGCACAAAGGGTCTCGCACAGTCTTTGGCAGAGACTACAGGGAGTGGGGAGAAGACTCACCTATGTTAGGCAGGATGTGGTCCAGGTTGAAGCGAGCCTTCAGGAATGGGTAGGCCAAGATGAGAAGCCCTGGGGTGAGAGACACAGAGGGGTTCTGTGATGGGGAGGTTCCTGGTGGGTGCAAGCCGCTGAAGTGGGGGGTGGGCTGAGCCTGGGGGTGATTTATGAGGGTGATATTGAACATGCATGGAGGAGCATGAGTATGCAGGTTGGAACTGTGGGTGTGTAAATGTAAGCCTGTGAGTGTGTGCACCAGGAGTGACAGAGAGCAGTGCCTATTTGGGGAAGAGGCTACAGGTTCTACCCTGCCTTCTGGAAGTGGGCCCAGCTGCCACCACCACCACCAGCTCTCCTCTGCCCCACTCTCCTCCAGGGTCCCCAGGGTAGGACCAAGGTCTCCTTAGCGTGCTCCTCTCCACCCAGACCTGGGGAGGGGGTAGCAGAAGAGTGGCTCTTTCCCTACGCATTCCCACTTCCTCCCCAGACCAAGTGTCTATGGCTCTTGGCTGGAGTTTGCAGCTACAGATGCCCAGAGCCTACAAGCCTAGTGCTTCTGGTTCTGTTTTTGGCCTGGGTTGTTGGAGTGGGGTGAGGGCTGCTACTCAGCATCACTGTGGGGACATCAATGGGACTGGCCCAGATAGACAGATGGATAGATGTCTGGAGAGACAGATCTGCTGCTGAGACATAGCCTTAGTCTGATCTGCAACCTGTCTTGGCTCAAGGAGGGTCCACTGGGAACCCTGTCCCCTTTTTCCTGCTCTAATCAACCCACCCACAACGGGCTTATAAATCCTACCGCAGACCTGACAGACCAGGCCTGAGACTGGAAAGCCGTAGGGGGAGCAGCCAGAGAGGAATGTGGCAGCCTGCGCCCTCTTTCCTCTCTCCTTGCTCTGACAGCCCACGAAAGGAACCTCACCCAACTTTCCTCTCCCTCCCTGTAGCCCCCAAGGCTGCCTTGCTCACACCTCTAGCTTCCACCCTCCCCGACCAGTTCCTGTCATCTCAGTCCTCCCCTCCATTTCCTGTTCACCTGACCGTGCCCCTGCTCCCTGACTGAGCCCAGCACCTGCTCACCCAGACCAGCAGCGCCAATAAAGATACCACCCACAGCAGCTGCAGCTTTGGACACGGAGACGCCGATGATGATGCTGCCAGCCACCAGGCCAAGGGCCACACAGGCCAGCTGCAGGCAGCGGAAGTCTCTGTTGCTGATGGGGATGTCCATGTAGGCCTGCCCTGGTGCCGTGCCCTACCAGTGGCGCCTGTCCCCAGAAAGTCCTGGCAGTCTTGATCCTCTTGGTTGTTCTTTGTTGGAGTTCCACCTTCCAGGTGGGAGTTTCTGGCTAGTAAGATTCTGGGCTTGTTACCCTTAAATTTATCTGCAATTCTATCCCACAGCCTTCCTGAGTGCCCACCCCACCGCAACCCCACCTTGACCTAAGATCTCCTCCAGGTCACCCCACCTTACTGTTCATCTCCTAAAGGCCCCTTAAGCTGGGGACCACTTTGGGGACTCCTGTCTGGCCACATCTGGCAATGGCCACCAGAATTCTGGAGAGCTGGGCTTGCCCCATGGGGTCTTCTACTGCCAGCCTCCTCTTGGGAGAGCTCAGCCCAAGCTCCCCTGCCCAGATCATCCTGCACCAGCTCCCTGGAGCCTGCTCAGCTGCCACTGAGCCTTGGCCTATTAAAGTTTAAAGCAGCGGGGGAGGTTGGCCCAGGGGCCAGGCTCCTCTGAGATGCAGGCAGCAGGGAGGTGCTGAGTTATTCATGAGGTTGCAATGTGAGCGACTGCCTGGGTCCCAGAGGCCCACTAGGGCAGTCAGCCCAGGTTCCACTGCTGGTCCCTGGCAGGGCAGGATGAGCCACTGGCTTCACATGCAGTTCAGTAGCCAAGGATGTGAAAAGGCTCCCTGGCCACATGCTCAGGGCCCACTCTGCTGTCTCTTTGGCTTGGAGATGCACCTAGGGCCCCTGCTTAAAGACTGAGAGACAGAAAGATGGAAAGAGACCTGGAGGACCCTCAAGAGATAGGAACAAAGACTATGAAAGGAGGAGGAGAGGGGTCCTTTCAAATCTACTCCGCACCCTTGCCCTCCCTCCCTGGCCCACCATCCCATAACTTCTAGCTCCTAGGCAGGGCTGAGGAGTCTAGTTTGAGATCCTCCCTTTCTCAGTTGGGCTTGGTACCCACATCCCTTTAGTTTTTTGTGGGCTGAGAGTGTGAGCCCTTCTAGCTTCCTGGGAACCCTGGCCAGGACTGACAGGGAAGGGTAGTGGTGGGGACCACAGGGGAGGAGGAAACTCTTATGAGTTAGGGCTGGGAGAGGAATCGAAATTGGAATCAGACTGGGTGGGGGCTGGGTGTCTGTGGCCTGGGTAGGGAGACTGGAACATGGCTGGTGCCCCCTGACCTCTGGCCTGAGCTTCTCTGCCCAGCCTGTCTGACCTACTTGCAGGATCCACCGACTTGAGGCTGGGCAGTGCTCACCCAGCCCAGCCAGCCCAGCCCTGTCACACCCGCCAGTTCTAGCCCTCATCACTAATTTCATTCTCTGGCCCTATGTGGATCAGGGCCTCCCTGGGCCCAGAGGATGGCCCTGGCCTTAGCCCCGTACCCAGACACCTGGGCATAGTCCCCAGGCTCCCACCACTGGCCCCTCTATCTTCTCTTTGGGTCTCCCATTTCTCCCCACATCTGCTATCTGGCACAGCTGGGCCCAAGGTCTTTGCCTCCAAGGCTGCCTTGCCCTCCCCCTTCCCTTCTCCTCTGCTGTCCTCCTGTTGAGTGTCTGACTGGGACCTACAATCTGGGGCATACTGCCTCATCCTACAGGACGCTGCTCAGCCCGCGCCAACGCTGTGAAGCCAATTCTGATGGTGCTGGGTGGGCTGCCTGTCACTGCTGCCATGTCCCAAAGTACCCACCATCAGTCTTCACTCTCTCTGTGTCCCCTCTGAAGACTGTGAGCTCCACAGAATGCCATGCCTAGAGGGGACCTGGGTTAGGCTTCTGGACACAAGGCACAGGTCAGGGAAGCCCTGGACCCACACAACCACCTCAGATGGGCACAGAAGGGGGCCGAGGGCCCCATGGGACCTCTGTCTCTAATAGGCAGTTTCCCTGGTGTGGGGTGGGGGCCTAGGAGGGCCGGGGTCACCTGAGTGAGCTTCAGCTGAGGGAAGGTATTGCCCAGGTGCTGGAGACAGGCCTGGGCAGGCACAGGGATGAACTGAAAGGTGTGTAGAGAGGAGGGGTGCCTGCAGAGCACTGGTGGGCTCCCTGGGATGTGATCCTGGCTCAGAAGAGAAAGCTCTTGGAGGTGGACATTTCCCAGCCACAGCCACTGCTGCCAACATCCCCCATGCCTCTCACCAGGATGAGGTCTGATTATTCCTCTAATTAGGCATCAAATGACAGACCATGTCTCTGTTACACGTAATTGATCCCCCACTGGCTAGTTTTAGAAAGAGCAGTCAGAATAATTGCCCATGGAAACGTGTTCCTGAGATGTCAAGCTTTGGGGATCTGAACACCCTCCACAGAGGCTCCGTTCCCACATGTGTTTGTAGAACCCGGGTGGGCAAGGCCTGTGCCAGCTCCTCTCACAGTGTAAGGCTGAGGGTGGTGCTCCCGCACCACCAGCAAGACAGAGGCTCTCGCTAGCCTGCCACATCTCCCACCTTGCACTGTGGGACTCGGGCCAGCCGCGCCATCCTAGGTCTCACTTGGCTGCACTTGGGAATGGGAATGGGGACAGCAGAGGCTGGAGTCAGGGATGCTTGTACATTGTGAGTGTCAGATTCCAGAAGAACACTGTGACCTCTAAAAGCTGGAAACCAAATTCCAAATTAGAGTTTTTCTTGGACATTGTAAATCCCTCAGGGCACAGTATCAGTTACAAGATCACAGAACCCCAGCACCATGCCAGCTGCTTCCTAGAACTGGTGAGGAAACTGAGCCATGGGAGTGGCAGGGCTGTCCCAGGGTCCCCGCTGGGGTCCCTGCTCAGTTGGGGAACACTCTAGCATATCTCTGCCCCAGAAATTCTAACTTATCTTATTTGAGACGAAGGAATTGGCAGCCTCACCATCAGAGGGAGATACTATGTCCAAAAGAATCAGTCCAGGCCTTCATCTTTTCCCTCATCATGGGAGAGCGTCTCTAAAGGCAACTCGGAATGTTGTGACGCCTGCTCCTCCACTGACTACGTATGTAGAGAGGAAAGCTTGCCAGTTCTTGTCTCCGTGAAGGCTGTGTCATCTCTGAAAGAGGGTGGTGATGTGCTTACTACAATAGGTAAATGAGATGGAAGCTCAAGGCCCTAGAGCTGGGCCCCTCACTGTTCCCCATGCCACAAGCACCAGAGCCCTCCTCCCTGAAGCCCGGGTTCCCCAAGCCCCAGATTCAGGGTGTGACTAGGCCATGGGTCACCACCGACTTGGTCACACAATCTCTCTTCATCTCCTGGTGAGGCCAGGACTGGGGGGCGCCTGCCTCTGAGCTTTCCTTCCCAGATCCAAAAGTAGCTTGTGGGTGGGGAGGAAGAGTGGGTGAGAGGACTCAGCTTGGTTTACTTCCGATTATTTTCCTTGAGGGGTGAGGACCCTGGAAAAGAGCATGATTAATTCACTGATTCCCTGGGGGATGGCAGCTTTCCTGGGCTGTTTGGAAGCTGAAGTTGGGAAGCAGCTTCCAAGGCAACTGCTACCATGGCAACGAGAGTACCAGCCATGGGGGAACCTTGCTCCTCTATCCCCTCTAGACCTAAGTAGCTGGAGCCGTTGGCATGGGACCCAGGCACTGCTGTTCATGCAGCTAAGTGTGGTGAGGGACAGTTGGCCAGGAAGGAGGAGGGGCCCCAGAGCTCAGGCAGGTGGGCACCTGGAGGGACAAGACTTGATTCCTGTGCCAAGGCCCCAGATGGGGCTCATACAGGAGTCCCTTGGTTCTGCTTAAACCAGCATGGGGGTGAGGCCTGAGGTCTCAGACGCTCCACTGTCTGGGGTCAGCTCTCTCCTGCTGTCCAACCCAAGTGTGCACCCTAGATCCTGGGAAGCAGCTGCCACAGTTCCAGGTCTCAGAGCCTCCCGCAGTGTGCCTGCCACATCTGCCTCTGCCTGGCAGGGCCAGGCACACGGCCTGGTCCTCAAAGGGCAAGGCACTTCCCAAGGTTGCCTAGCGAACAGTGGCAGAGGAAGGACTAGAACTCAGGGACTCTGGCTCCTACATCTGCCCCTTGGGGACAGGGGCCCCACCCCAGAGGGACAGAGCTGCCTGTCAGCAGGAGGATCCCACAAAGGGCCAGAGGCCAGGCCCGTCTGGAAAGCCCAGGCCTATCTCTACCCACACAAGCCGAGGGCAGGGGGAAGGCTAATCTCCATCACTAGGACTCAGTTGAGTAAATCTGCCCCAGGAGATAATAATAAAAATAACCAAAACTATCACGGTCAACAATTATTGAGTACTTAACTGTGTGTGCCTGGAACTGCTCTAAACATTTTACATTTAGTGATTTATAACTTTCACAACAGCCTGACCAATTTTTGGTTAAAGAAACCGAGACCACCCCCCCAGAGAATAAGCAACCTGCCCAAGGCCCAAAGCTAGTAAATGGCAGAGCTGGGATTTAAACCTGGACAGCACAGTTCCGGGCCCCAAGCCTCTCTGGAAAGAATTCCAGTCCCACCTTCCTAACTGTACAGTCCTGGAGCAAGCTATTTTTTTCCCTTCTCTGCTTGGTTTCTCATGTTAAGCAGCGTAAAATAATAGTACCTTACTGCTGTGAGAATTCAATGAGATGTTGCCTGTAAGCTTCTCAGAAAGCATGTGTTACTTAGTAAAAAATAAGCACACACTAATGCCAGCAAAACCAGAGTGGATGCAGCAGCACGTAAGCAGGGGACTGGAGGATGAGAGGGCCTTGCCAGGAGGACTAGGGTGAGGAGGTGGGATGCAGAGGGCTCAGAGGCAAGAGAGAGCAGCTGGAGCTTCGTGCAGGGGGGGTGGGGGTGGGAGGGGGAGTGCTTGGTCCAGGAAGACCCTGAAAGTCACACCCCAGCTGGGCCAGCCTGAAGGACTGACCAGGTTGGGGCTGGAGTCTAGAGGCAAAACTCATACCCTGGTTCTGAGTCCACAGGGACTGGGAGACTTTGGGCCAAAAGGCTCAGATTCTGCAGGCCTGATTTCTTCTTTCTTTTTCCTCCCTTCCTCCTTCCCTCTGT